ATTTTCAACTTTATCACCATGAAAATGAAGGCCTCTTGCCCCAGGACACTTGTTAGAGCTCCCAGCAAAGATATTAGCAAAGATTTGCTATGTTCCCAGAGGCTCTCCACACTACCACACTGCCTTAGGACCATCCTTTCCAAGAAAGATGCTGCATTCAGGGAAAGCTGGAGCTGTACATTTTGCAGATGTGATGACCTGGGAGAGAACCTGGAAGAAATTCTGCCATCATTGCTCATGATGCAACTTTAATGTGAATTCTGTGCATTTTTCTCCCACAGGAGAAACAAGGTAGGGAGGAATCATATTACTGGGATTATATCATGGGTTTGTAGACATTGTGAGTTAAAGAAATAGTGACTGAACTGGTAATGAAAATATCTGGGACAATAATGGTGCACAGAAATCTGGTGATGGCTATACTTGAAAAACTTTCTCCCAATATATTTGAGGGGACTGTAAGTACAAATAAATTAATGGAAAAACATTTGAGACTGGTTGTTCCACAATAAGAAACTCCAATATTGTTGCTTTTTAAAAAATCAGGCAGCTCAAGTCAGCAAAATATTTACTTACTGTATCACTTAAAGCATTTTTTGAGGATTTTGAGAGCTCCTAGATATGAATTTTAATCAGGAAGGTTTCCCTTTCAAAAGAAGATAAATTAAGGCACAGATCCTAAACTTGTCAGCTTTCCTAGTAAGGACTTAGTAAGCCAACAGAAATCATGGATTATCATACTAGAACCCTTCCTTAGAGACAATTCCAATTCTTTAAAGTTTGACTTATTATGGATTTCAGGACACTCCGTAATTTCACTTTTGAAGTTCTATACACATCGAATAATCAGTCTTTAATCAGTTTAAATTAAGTTTAAATAGTGGCCTTAAAGATCAATTCAAGCATTTTCTGTTCTTAAGGTTAATGAATACTATTTTGAAAATTAGCATATATATGAAGACATATATAACATATAGGGCTGTTAGTTTCATTACAGAAAAGAGAGCTAAGTAACTGCATGCTTTCAAAATGTTCAGCTGTGCACTGTACTTAAATATTACTTTACAGAACATAAGGAATGGATAATAAAAAACCTGGAGTTAGTAGAATTCATATGCTCCCCTCTGAATGTAAAAATGTGTCTTTTCTCCTCAGTCTCTTCCTCATTGATTCCTATCCTCTTAGCTTGTCAATTTTACAGTCTTTTGTGTAGAGACTTGACCTGCTGACGAATTTATTTCAGGTGGATTTATGTTTTCCTCACCTGGATGGTTTGAAATGCAAAACATTCAAGGTACAGCCACTGCAACAAACTCCCTCAGTGGAGCTTGCCTTGCTGCACACATTGCTCTTGGAATCTCACTCACCTTTGAATTCAAACATCACGAAAGATGAAAAACAGCATGGTCTCAAGTACTATAATTAATGCTGCTAAATTTTGCTCCTTTGCTGTCCTGTCCATGGCTGCGTTGTGCAGAATGTCTTCAATTAACATGTTCTTTGTTTCCCTCACAAAGCAATAGAGTGAAATTTTATCCTCTGGTACTTTTTAGAGTGTTTCTCTCTAATAACCCGGTATTTTATATGTTTTTGTTGATCCTGTGTATGATTTTGTTGTTAAGAGTCAGTAACTATAACATTACCAAAAAATTATGTCATCTGTGCACAGCAGTCCTGGATGAATGTAAAAAGTCTGGGCATGGACCAAATGAGAGAAAGTGAGGGGGAAAACCCCAATGTGCATAAAGACATATAAGGACAAATACAATTGAACATTAAAACCCCAAACTATTTCTGTGCTGAAAATGAACTGAAATAAAGCAGTCATTGTCTCAGTCACTCCTGTATTTATGAGTCCTCTTGTCATATAAAAATATTTCTAGGATCTCTTACCTTTCTAATATTGAATACCCAATTCCTCCTTTTTTTCTAGAAGACTTTGGCACATTTCTGAGATCCTGGACTATGACTTTCACCTCTTTGAAAAGGAAAAAACTCAACATTTTTATCAGCTTTTTTTCTAATTATTTTTATAAACTGTGTTTATTTTTCATTATTAATAATTTTTATGGTTTTATTTTCAGTACTTTTCCTATTGAGCTTATTTTCACTTTCTGAACCTGTGCAATCTTATCTGATTGGAAAACAAAAAAAAAGCTGCCAGAAACATAAGTTAATTTCCTTCAGTACTTTACCACACTTTTTTTTGCTGTCAGTCTGTGCAATTATATTGTGTTGGACTTACACAGCAAAGTGTTACACATTTATTTTTACCTATTTCCACATGCAAAAAAAAAATATCTTTAGAGAAATATCGAATTGCCTACCATACTATTTATCTTCAGCACTTAATATTTTGTCAGATAACTAGGTCCTGGAAAAAGAGAAAATGTACTCCTTACAGCACAAATGACAGATGTCATCAAAATTGAAAAACTGCAGTGGGCAACTACCAAAGAGGACTTTTATTTTGTTTCAGATCTGGGAAATAATTTGTGAAACTTGGTGTTAAAAAAAAAAACAAAACAAAAACCAAAACAAACCCAAACCAGCAGAATATAATATTAGAAGCAATATTATAATAATATAATAATAATATAATATTATTATATTATTATAGTGTTAATATATATTATATTATTACATATATCATATATTATATAACATAATATATAATATATACTAATATATTATTTTATGTAAATATAATATAATATAATATAATATAATATAATATAATATAATATAATATAATATAATATAATATAATATAATATAATATAATATAATATAATATAATATAATATAATATAATATAATATAATATAATAATATTATTATATCATTATAAATATGTTATTGAGAACTATTTGGTGGCTTTTGAGGGCCTGAAGTCAGCACATGTATTTTCAGGACTAGAAATCTGAGAGTTGCTCCTGAACTAGAGACCAGAATTTAAAATACAATACATGAAAAAAGAGGCCCCCATTTCAAACTTGATATGTGTCTTTGGAATTATTCATGTCTGGGTTCACTTGTCCATATATAAAAGGAAAAAAATTCTTATTAATTTTTATAAGTGAGAAAATCAGAAAGAAAGAAAATGGAGGGCCTGTTAAAAATTGTAATGACCACTTTTAGAAATGTATTTTTCTCAAAATTATCCAGCCCTTAATAAGTATAATAAAAAAATAAAATGACTCTGCTGCTGGCTTTTGAAGCATGAAATTTTGACATTTCTCTGATTCAAACCAACATTTCTAAAGAAACGTTTCAGACAGTCCCTAGACAAAACATAGTATTGAAATCCTAATCTATTTCTTTTGAAATATAAATAGAAAGGCTCCCATTGATAGCAGTGGGAATGCACGATGACCTTTTGCTAATTTGAAAGTACAGAAGTTTGAAATGGAGATATTTGAAACCAGTAATGAAGCTTACAGCCTGAATAATACATACTGTACTGCCTGTCATTTTTATTGTGTAGTGCCATAATTTATTCACTATGCTAATGGTGCAGGTGAGGATTTTCTTTCCAAGTAATTGAAACCTGTAATAAACACAAACCCTTTAGATCACCCTGTTACTCATTAATTACAAAACTAAAATGTCTTTACATTTTAGAATCCATTTGCTCATTTTTTCCTGTAATGGTCATACATTCTCCACAGATAGAAGTCTATAAAATTTTTATAATGGACAGCAGGAGTTTTTGTGCCTCCTGATGATAAAAGTAAAGGTTTCAATTTTTCTAAAGACTAATAGAAGAATATTTCATAAGTATTCAGCCATAGCATGACACCTACTCAAACCTATTTCAAAGCTGAAACAAAACTGGGAAATAATTGAGACCATGTGGAGATGCAAAATGAGGAGCTACTCTGTCCTGTTGCTAAATTTCTAGGTCAGGACATACTACTGTTCCTTTTCCCACCTGATTCAGGAAAGGTGTCCCTGCCCATGGCAGGGGGTTGGAACAAGATGATCTTCAGGGTCCCTTCCACCCCAGGCCATGATGATTCTATATTATTATGTTATAATGCTTTGCTGAAGGAGTTCCTGTTTCAGTCACAGCTGCTGCTACATGGATAGAGATTAAATTGAATGCAGAATTGCACCTTGGCCTCATTCCTTATCATAAATAATGCTAGAAAATACACTATATTGTTCTTAAAATGTATATAATGACATTAGTATCCTGTGGTGTTACTCGGTGCCATTTCATGTAAACCACAGTATTTGCTGGCTCAGCGTTTGGATGTGGACCCACAGTTTGCTGTTTCCAAATTTTATGTTTTAAGCTATTATATTTTTTTGTTTTGTGCATGATGTAGCATGGGTGTTCCTATGTGGTGGGACAGGAGAGCTTCCACGACTTTGATAGTTTTTCATGAGCGATTTTTTAAATAACTATGAGAATTTTTTTGCACTGGTTTTAAAGGACGATTTTCACAGAACGTGCTGAGCTGGAAGGGACCCACAAGGATCATCGAGTCCAACTCCTGGCCCTGCACAGGACACCCCAAGAGTCACACCACATGCATGGCAGCATTGTCCAAATACTTCTTGAGCTCTGTCAGGCTGGTGCTGTGACCACTTCCCTGGGGAGCCTGTGCCAGTGCCCAGCCACCCTCTGGGTGAAGAACCTTCTTCTAATATACAACTAAATCCAACTTCTAATATCCAACTTCTAATATCCAAGCTTCAGGGCATTCCCTCGGGTCCTGTCACTGTCACCATAGAGAAGAGATCAGCGCCTACCCCTACTCTTCCCCTCACCAAGACGCTGTAGACTGCAATAAATCCAGACTAGATTTACATAATTTTAAACAGCTTAAGGTTATTTTAGCATTTCTGAATAGCAAAAAACTCTGCTAAGACGTTCCAGCTTTCTGGCATTCTATCCAATAAGCATTTCAGGATAGGCGATGACTGTTATTTTTAATGGCAAAAACCCGCCCCTTCCTAGAAGCTCTGAATATGTGAGTTGATACTGATACCTGCAGGCCCGGTGATTTGTCTAAGCAGGAAGAAGGGAAGACAAAGAGGGAAAAGCCGGGGAAAAGCAATGGAAACAGTAGGACACCCTGCGGAGGCGGTCTCCTTCAGCCCCGGGCGGGGCGGGGCGAGGGGCGGCCGGGAAGTGCCGCAAGG